CATGGGAGACCAGGAGGAGGCACCTGGCTCCTGGCTTCGGATCGGTGCAGCACACCGGCCGTGGCGACCATTTGCGGTGTGAACCAGCAGGGAAGACCTTTCTCTCTATCTCTCTCTCCCACTGTCTAACTCTGTCAAATTAAAAAAAAAGAAAAAAAAAAGGCGGTGTCTGTTCTTTCACTAACCCATTCTCGGAGTCCCTTAACTGCGTGAGACTAAGCCCCTTGGGCTTTGGAGACCCCGTCACTGGGGCGTGTTTATTTGAAGGTTGATTTTTGCTGTACTGGGTACTTCCTTTCCCATTTTCTAATCACTTTAACACATCTGCTGACTCTCCCTGTCCATTCTCCTTTCCCTGGGAAAATGCAATGAATAAATCAGGACTTATTGATATCAAAGCTGTCAAAAAATTTATCCCTATCAATGATAAATGCAACTTTTATCATAGCAATTTCAATTACATATCTGGGTTTTTAAATTTCATGGAAAAAATTTGAAAACTTTTAAAAATTTTATTTATTTATTTGAAGGGCCAAGTTACAGAGAAGGAGAGAGAGATGGAGATCTTCTATCCACTGGTTCACTCCCCAAATGGCCACAACAGTCAGGACTGGAACAGATCAAAATGAGGAGCCAGGAGCTCCATCGGGTCTCCCATGTGGGTGCCAAGGCACAAGCACTTGGATAATCTGCTTTCCCAAGTCCATCAGCAAGGAGCTGGATCAGAAGTGGAGCAGCAGGGACCCGAAACTGACATCCATATGGGATGCCAGCGGTTGGCTTAACCCAGTGCTCTGCAAATCCAGCCCTGAAAGCTTTTTTTTAATTTGAGACAGAGAAGGAGAGGGGGAGGGAGACAGACAGAATCACAGAGATATCCTATCTTCTGGTTCACTCCATCTGCCTGTAAGAGCAATCAGCTGGGGCTGAAGCCGGGGACTGGTAATCCAATCCAGCTCACCAGTGTGGCTGGCAGGATCCTAACCACTCAAGTTATCACCACTGCCTCTCAGGGCCTTCATCAGCTTGGAGTCAGAAACAGAGTTAGTCATCGAACCCAGGTCATCCAATATGGGATGTGGGCATCCTAACTGGCATTTTAACTGCTAGACCAAATGCCTACCTCAAAATGAAATTTTTTAAAATACAATAAACTGTGTTGTTCTTCTGTATTGTTGTACATCATCAGCATCTCAAGCAGTGCCAAACACGTAGTAGGAACTAAAAAAAATATTGGTTGATTAAACGAGCCATGAATGCACACATTGAATGACTACAATACGACAAAAGAAATGAAAGTATTTCACCGGAGTATAACAATATGATCACCTTGGAGTTGTGGAGTGGAGCCTAGGTTGGACAGAAGAAAATTGTTCCTCCTATCTCATAGATTGAAAGGGCATAGTCCCGGAGACTATGAAGGAGGGTCTGCTAATAACATTGCTCTCTCGCTCGCTCTCTCTCTCTTTCTCTAACCTCCTCCCCTAACAAAAAACAAACAAAAAAAAGTCCTTTAGGAGGAGGCATTGTAGTAGAGTGACTAAAACTCCTCCTGCAGCCCCTGTATCACATATCAAAGCACCAGACCAATCCAGCTTTCTGTAGATGTGCCTGGAAACGCAGCAGAAAGCGGCCCAAGTGCTTGGGAGACAAAGATGAAGTTGCTGGCTCTTGGCTTTGGTCTGGCCCAGACGTAGCTGTTGTGGTCGTTTGGGGAGGGAACCAGCAGACGGAAGCTCTCTCTCTCTCTCTCTTTCCCTTTCAAATAAATAATTTTTTCAGATCCTTTGACATGGAGCACGGACCCTCATACAGTGAATAAAAGCCGCTGGCTCACAGTCCTGGCCTCTGTGACAGGCTCTGAGCCTTGCTCTGGTTCCACATTTTGTGTGGTACAGATGTTACTCTCTCCTAAAGCTAGGGACATGGATTTGGACAATCCATAGACATCTCTGAAAATAACTTGCACATATTCCATAAATATATACCAGATAACCTCAAACTGAATCCCAGCCTCATTTGTTTCTCCTCACCTGCTTCTTGACTGACCAGACTGTCCCACAAAAGCCTTTACCCTGCTGTCCACTCCTGGGGAAACACTGGCTACAGGAACCACCCTGGGAAACCACCATAGAGGAAAGATAAACACAGAACAAAATCTTTGTGAAATGTTAAACATCCCTTGGACAATGTCCAAAGTGTACAGGCATTTCACAAAATTGTGTTCCACAGTGACTAGCGTTATGGTGCAGTGGGTTCTGGGAACAGGCACATGGTACAGAGGTTAAGACACCACTTTGGATGCCCCAATCCCATATTCAAGTGCCTGACTTCAACTTACAGTTCCATTTCTGATTCTAGTTTCCCAGTAATGCACACGCTGGGAGATAGCAGGTCAAGACTTAAGTACTCGTGTGGGAGACCTGGATTGAATTCTTGGCTCTTGGCTCTGGTCTTGCTGTTGTGAGCATGTGGGGAATGAAGCAGTAGATGGAAGATCTCCCCCCGACAACCTTTTCTCCCTTTGAAATAAATATTTAAAAATACTTAAAAAGATAATGGATTCAGAAATGCCTGGCTCAAGTTATATAAAATAAACCTAGTTTTCCCTCTCTTTCTCAGGGTGACAATAATTCACAGTAATGTATTATATACTGTATAAAGTACTGGAAAAGAGTGAGGCTCCAAATGTAAAGAAAAGGATATGGAAATGCTGATTGATCTGATTGGTTTATGCCATACACATGTTTTTAAATATTGCATGATACTCCATAAAAATGTACAAGTATTGGTCGTTAGTTAAAATTTTTAAAAATTAAAACTGAAAAAAAAAAAGAAATAGCTTGTCTTTTTTAAAAGGTGCTTGTAGGAACAGTCGTGGCACAGTGGGTTCGGTGACCACTCGGGGTGCTGACATCCCAGACTGGAGTGCCTAGAATCAAGTTCCACCTCTGCTTCTAATTCAGCTTCCTGTTAGCGTGTACCCGGAGAAGCAGCATGCGATGGTCCCTCCCAGCACTCGGGTCCCTTCCACTCACGTGGGAGACTAGAGAGGTCCTGGGTCCTGGCTTTGGCCTGTTCCAGCACCCACCTGTCAGGCTTTTGGAGAATGCACCAGCAGATGGGAATCAATCTCTCTCTCTCTCTCTCTCTCTCTCTCTCTCTCTGTGTGTGTGTGTGTGTGTCTACTTTTTAAATAAATAAAAATAAATGAATTTTTGAGAAAAGGAAAAATCAGGCAGTTCCCATGGACAGTCCCAGGTCTTCAGACAAATGAAGTGAGAGGAAGCTTGAAAAGAAGATGATTTGGCATTGGACTTAGACCTTTTACTTCCTACTTGTGCCCATTTCTAATGATGCGACCCTTGATAATTACGTAAACTCTCTGAAATTCAGTGATCTCTATTACAAAATAGAGACAATAAATAATTACCCCATAGTGTGATTGGTATTTAACAAGACAATAAATTTAAAAATGCCTGGCACAAATTAAGTACAATTAATGTAGTTTTCTTTCCCTTCTTCAAAAAATATACTTGAGTCAATCACAAAGATGAAGGAAGTTGTAGAACTAAACATGGTTAAGAATTAGGTTTTATGTCCCATTCCCTCTTATCTTCTTTTTCTAGCTCAGAGAATCTGTCAAATCAAAGAAGATCAAAGAATCCTTGGAGTGAGCTTCAATAATGAGTATGTTGAAACAGCATCAAAGTTTTCCAAATAGGAAGCTGAGGGGGAAAGTCCAGGACCAATAAATGGGTCCTTTTCATGTGTAAGTATTGGGGGCCTTAGAACTTGCTAGGCTGCTTCCTAGGGAAATTAAAAGGAAAGGATCCTCTGAGAAAGGAGGGAGCTTTCCCATTTCCCATCCCAAATTATGTAACTCTGCTTGTAGCCCAGGAAACCCCAGAGCGCAAGAGGGAGACCACTGGATGTTTCATGATAATTATGCTTCTTCACTGTTGTTATGCTTTAAATATTTATTTATTTATTTATTTGAAAGGCAGACACATACACACACACAGAGAGAGAGAGAGGGAGAGAGAGAGAGAGAATATGAATGAATCTACTAGTTCACTCCCTAAATGTCCATAACAGCCAGAGTTGTGCCAGGCCAAAGCCAGGAGCCTGGCTCTCCATCTGGGTCTCCCACATGCGTAGCAGGGAACCACATATATGAGTCACCATTTGCTGCCTCCCAGGATGTATGAGCAGGAGGTTATATCAGAAGCAGAATAGGCAGGATTCAAACAGGCACTCCGATATGGCATGTGGGCATCCCAAGCGGCAATGTAACCCACTGCGCCGCAACACCCATCCCAACTGTCATTATTTTAAACATGTGTTTTAGGATTATTAGTTGATGACACTATAGATAGGGATAAGCAGTCCTATGGAATTGGGGTGTGATATGACAACAGTACACACACAAGACTCCAGTCCAATGTCATCTGTGATCATTACTTAATACAAATGAATCACAGGTGTCACCAGCAGAAGAGAGAAGTAATACTGATTTAAAAGTAGTAACCTTGCATACATGGGTGGTAAGAAAAGCAAGGATGTGATTACCACAAAGGTCAGGGTAGTGACTGCCTCAAGAGGGAAGGGAAGGGCTGTGGTTTACAAGGTAAACCAAGGAGGGGCTGGCTATGTTCCATTTCTGGATGGAGGATGTTCACCTAGTAATTATCCTATACATCTGTGTCTGTTATTTGTATATTCTATTTTATAATTTTTAAAGGTTTAAAAAAAGGAAATAATAGCCTGCCCTCATTGAGAAAACAACAATGTGTTGCAGATCTTAGCTCTCAGTATTTAAACACCATCTCCCTGAGCTGATGTCCACGCTCCTCCCAGAAATTATTATTCTGGAAAGAAAAAGACGACAGTGGGTTTTTGAATAGCCCTGAGTAGACTGTGGTTAATGTTTCACATGGAAGAGATACCAGGAATGTGTTTGGAGTATATATTTGAGTTTTTGTTTATTATTTACTTACTTGAAAGGCAGAAAGACTGAGACAGACAGAGAGCTACCATCAGCTGGTTCACTCCCCAGATGCTGGGCCAGGCCAAAACTGGAATCTGGGAACTCAGCCTCGCTCTCCCACATGGATATCAGGGACCCAAATACTTGAGCAATCACCCGCTGTTGTCCAGGGTGTACATTAGCAGAAAGCTGGAATCGGGAGATGGAGCCAGGGCTCAAAGCCAGTCTCTCAGGCAGGGGATGCAAGCATCTCAATCCCTGTGCCAAATGCCTGCCTCATATTTGTGAGAGTCTAATTATTCTAGAGTCAGAATTCTATGGAGTTCCATGAGTTATGAGAATGCTTTCTAAGGGGTAGGGCGAGTCCACAAATCAGTCATCAGACACGAAGAAAAGATGGGCTTATGAAATCATCAGAAAAAGTACGAAACTTGTAAAGAGATACTAAGAACCCAGTCTCTAATGCAGGGCATAGCAGAGTCTCTGTGTGAAGAAAATCCCTCCTGTGTTTGGCATTTGAGTGACTCACCCAGGAAACCATCCACTGCGTGCAGCAAAGAGGAAATGAATCATGGACGCTTCTAACCTTTGCCCTTGTCATCTCCGTGCAGGGAAACCACCCACAGATAGTCTCAACAGAGCTGGAGACAGGGCAGTCAAACAAGGCACACACAGAAATGATGCAAATCCATTGGCAGGAGACAGCAAGAGAATGAAGGAGAATGCAGCTCAGGGGTTGCAAATATGGGATAAACATTGATTTTATGACACAAAAACGTAGCAGTTTAACTGGCATCAAGGACCGTTTGGCAGTGCCCACTGATCTGATGTTTTATGCAGTCATCCGAGCTCCTTAGACATGAGCTGGGGGTGGAGGCGTATGGGAGCTGCGTGGAGAACAATGACCTTTGAAAATCAAGCTCATAGTTGGTATTTAGAGAATTTGCTTGGCTTGCTCAGAGGAAGAAGAGGAAACTAATGTCAGGATGAAATTCAGAATGGATTGAGTAGAGTTATTCACATTTAACAAAAAGGATTCTGAAAAGGCAATGAGTTTAGAGCTAGTCCAGGAGTACAAATGCAATCTGAAGAATTCCCTGTAGCCAGAATCTAATACTTCATGTGTGATTTCAGCTTTTTTCTCTTATGAGGCAGAAAAACAGAGAGAAAGCGCTCGTATCTGCTGGTGGCTCCCCAAATGCCTGTGGGGTTGTGGAGCCCTGAAGCTGGGAGCCAGGAATTCAATCATATGTGGGTGGCAGGAACCCAACTATCTGAGCCATCAGCCCTGACTCTGGGGTCCACACTGGCAGGAAGACAGATCCAGGAATCCACTGAATCAGGAGCCAAAGCTGGGAATTGAACCCAAGCACTCTGATGTGGGATGCAGACAACACAATGGGCCTCTTCACTGCTCGGCCAAATGCCCACCTCTGATGTCAGTTTTAAGCAAAATCAGAAAGCCTTCAGTATGTGAATCTGAAAACCAAAAATGGTTCATTCAAAAGCATGTGCCAAATAGAAAGCAAATACCTAAAAAGGACAAACAGGAAAATCTCTAATTGTGCACATTATTCATTGTATTGGAGCCCTGTGTGCTGAGATTGTTCTCAGCTCCTCTGTTCACACTTCAGTAGCAAGGGAAAAGGCAAGCACCTGCTGAGTAGCAGAATTCACAAGCATCTCCCTGCCCAAGATGAGCTTTCAATGCAATTTCTATCCCCATAAGGGTCTACAAATGATAGCACTGTTTTCTAAATACCTTATCATAACAGAATATATCCTCCCTCAAAAAAACACATGAGGTCAAATGAACTAGACTGTCGCTCCCCCTCTTCGTGGAGGAGCAACACAGGACCCTGCGCTGTTCTTTCGTCTGCTCGGCCCTCCCCGGGTTTGCTGCTGGTTCTTCCCGGGTTGGCTACTATCCCTTCCACCTCCGTGGAAGGGCAGTTCCCCCTGGCCGCATTCCCCACTTCCGCAGGGGAGCGGCACACCGCCGGCCGGCTTTTCTCGGGGGCTGCACGGGTTCCCTTAGATGTTCCCCATAGATGTTTCTGGTGCATGCCGTCTCTCTCCTCCTTTATAGTCCTCCTCCGCCAATCCCAACTCGGCTGCCCACACGCCGAGTACGCCGCTCTCCAATCAGGAGCAAGTCCTACAGTTAATTGGTTGAACTGGAGGCAGCTGTGCGGAAGCTGTTTACTTCTCTCCCAGCGCCATATTGTGGGAGAGCAGATGCATAGAATAAGTCTTAATTCGAGTAACTTAGTCTAGTCCGGATTGCTCCCCACACTAGACCAGGAATCCTTTGTCCTTGATGGTTAGGAAAGGGGGATATGTCACACAGCTTAATTCAGATCTTCCTTCTGTGCCTGGTAACTCAAGTTAAAAGAAGACATTGGACATTGGATAGTGTTCTGGTCCTAGCTCAAGAAGGAAAATTAAGGCTAACTTTAAAAGCCTGCCTCTCCCTTCCTCCCCTACTTCCCACTCTGGCCATTTTCATGTTCTCTCTTCGTATCCACTCCCACATCATTCCCCTTTATTAAATTAGAGAAAGGACATTAATCATTTGCAGGTAGGCAGACAGCATTTATGGTCCACACCCTACTATTGCCCTCAGCATTAACTGATGGAAATGAAAATGATCCAGTCGTCTCGCACAGCACAGAATTACAACATGATCCTTTGCACACAGTTCAATGAGTTACACACAATTAGCATCAGGGAGTATCAGTATTATCATTCCACTCCCTTGTGAACTTCTATCCCCATTCCTATCAGTATTTTCAACTAATGAACTGGCATCTTTATGCAAAAAAATAATAATTTCTTAAACTAGCCATCATCTATTCTATACTTACCAGATGCCAGGTATTCTGTTAAATTTTTATAGACATTATCTTTTCATCTTCATAGTAGCCATATTAGGTGGGTACTATTTTCATCCCCACTTTACAAATTGGGAGTCCAGAGTTAGAAAGATGGTATAAATTGTCCAAACCAAGGCAGCAAGTGAAGAAGCTAGGGTTCATGCCCTGGGCTGTCTGTCCACCTCTAGATTCTGAACTCTTAACCATGACACTGTGGGCTTCAGTAGCCAAAGGGTAGGAAAAGCAGCAATGAAATTACACGTTTGCTGCCACATTAATTTCAGTCGCCTTTTCTGTACTGCTGTATATGTATGGGCAGCCCTCCCCTTCCGTGGGTTCTATAGAGTCAATCAACTGCAGATCAAAAATATTCAAAAGATAATTGTATCTGCACTGAACAAGTACACTTTTCCTCCTATTATTAAACAATTTGGTATCAGTATAGCGATTATTAATATAGCATTTACATTGTTTTACATATTTGAAGTAATCTAGAGATTGTTTAAAATGTACAGGAGGATATGCTTAGGTTATAGGCAAACACGCACGATTTTATATAAGGGATTTGAGCACTCTCAGACGTTGGTATCCTTGTGGGGGAAGAGGTGTCCTAGAGCCAATCCCCTGTGGACACCAGAGGATGAGGGCCATCACAGCAGACAGTAGAGAGGAAACATAATAAAGCCTTATTTCTCTCTGGACACTTCACCTGGCATCTGTAAATCTTCTATATTTCCTTCTTATGTGTAAGAAATGAGACAGGAAGAAAGAAAGATAGCAGCAGAAGTCCTAAGAGTTTCTAGCCTGATTTCCCTATTCCTTGATAATGGGGACTTTGACCTTTGTGAAAAGATGATCTTTCAAGCTTGACCAATAAAAGCTCCATCAGAAACACCTCATCAAGCACACACTGAAAGGGGCCAATTGAGTTCAGCTTCTCATTTGGAATTAATCTTCTGACCTTCTGTTGGGAACAACAGTAAAGACAAATCACTCTCTCATCTTCTACCACCATTTTTAACCTGAACTAGCCTATCAACAATTTACTGAGCATCTGTCATATACATTAGGACTATGGCAATCACTGCGGAACAAAATCACTGAAGAATTAGACAGTCTGTCCTTAATGAATACACATTCCCTGTGGCTTAGCATTTAGTAGCTATTTATCACTTATATACAGCACAGTTGGTTTCTGATTCAGCACCTCATTATATGCAAAACTTTTTTTTTAAATCAGCACCTATTCTTTCAGGCTAATCAGGGTTCTAACAATAGGAATAGAGAAAAGATATTACAAAAGCAACCCAACTATTAGATGTCAAAAGGGTATTATAGTAATTGGAAATTTTCTAGGGAAGCTATCGTCTTTGTAAGAAAAATGATGCCCAAAGCCAGGAGCAGGGAACTTGATCCAGGTCTCCCACATGGATGGCTGGAACACAACAACTTTTGAGCTACCACTGCTGTGACCTAAGATGAACATTAATACGAAGCCAGAGGCAGGTATTGAACCAGGGTACTCAGACACGTGATGCAAGCATCTCAATTCTTGTCTTAACAACTAAGCCAAACACTCACCCTGCTAATTTAGTTTAGTTTGGTACCAGGAAGTATTGTCCTTAAGGGCATAGGTTTTAGAATTCATCTAGTTCATAACCTGGTTTCCCACACTTCCTAGCTCTACCAAGAACATGTTATCTAACCCTTCTAAGAATCAATCTCCATAAAAATCAACCCATAACATGGGATATGAGAACTACATGAATCTTCTCCAGCTTGGTAAATGGCTATACAGAGTCTGACACAGAAGAAACACTCAATACATTCAGCTTGCTAAAAAAGAAAGGAAGGAAGGAAAAAACAAAATCCTCACTGAATTTTTCCTACCAATGGGAAAACCACAGATGCCAAAACCAGAATAGCCTACACAATGTAAGCCCTCACAGCACAATAAAAACTCACTACAGGGGCCGACACTGTGGTACAGAGGATCAAGTCTCTGCCTGCACAGCCAGCATCCCACATGGTGCTGGTCCAGACCCAGATAATCCAGCTCCCTGCTAATGGTCTGGGAAAGCAGCCCAGCACTCATGTAGGAGACCCAGAAGAAACTCACTCCTGGCTTCCGACTGGTCCAGCTCCAGCTATTGTGGCCATTTGGGGATGGAAGATCTCACTCACTGTCTTTCCCTCTGTCTGTAACCCTGCCTTTCAAATAAATAACTGAATAATTTGCAAAAATTGTTTTTAAATAATTTTTTAAAACTCACTACAAAGATACTGCTGACAAAGCAGCTTTTATTATAAAGAAGGTCTATTTGGAATTCATCCAAGGAAGATCAGTGATTATTGAGATACTTCTTTCCAAGGAAGATCATTCATACCTCATCCCTATAAGCCCCAAA